TTTTAATATCCAAGTAAATTAAAACATGACAACTTAAAATAAGACAAAGTTTAATAAATTCTTTTTAATTATTAAATTATAAAATTAATTTGCGATAATAATGTTTACAATTTGTACTAATATCGGATGTGGTTGAGAATTATTAATATATATTCGTCTATAAAATTTAATCCATGAATTTTTTTGGTAGTAAAATCGACTCGCCATTGTCTTTCGCTGATAATTGATGCTTTTTAACATAATCTATAGCCCAAGATTTCGCTTGAAAAATTAATTTTGTCATTTGAAATAATTCCATTAAAAAAACTACTACTACTATTTACACCATAGACTTCTATACATATTTTTTTCCCGCGAGTTTTAATAGAATTTGTTGCCAATAAACATCAATGGCGTAATAATAAACACAATGACGTAGCGAACGTAACTGCACCCGGGCCGCGACACTATATTGGCACCCCCTCCCCCTCCAGAAACTAATTTTGTTTTTCTTGGAAACCATTTGGCTCCCCTCTGCCAGTGGCGCCCGGGGCAAGCTGCCCCACCCTCTGCTAAAAGCTTTTCTTCGTTTTTGGGCGATAGGAAATTCTGAAGTTCCTCAAGGACAGGCAGTCTCAAAGGATTAACCCATCGTGTATAGCAGCCTTAATGTGTGTAGTGTGACAAAGGACAGAATTAGGAGTGATTACCTAAGAGAAACAGTCAAGGTGGGTTTCATGAGAAGGTGCAGGAAAGTAGATTAAGATGGTTTGGACATGTGGAAAGAGGACTGGGAAGTTGGAAGTGATGGATCCTGCAGGGAAGACCAAAGCTGAGATGGTGAGACAAGGTGGCAAAGGATTTGGAAGAGAGGGGATGCCCTGGATAGAAAGAAGTGAAGATTAGACGATTTAGAGAAGTAAACAAAATGATTTTTGTATCAAACACCTTTTTAAACGTCTAAAAGATTGGAACAGTAATGTTCAAAAGATAGAACTGTTTTTTATGTATTCAGTCCTGACGAGGGCATCTAGATGACGAACGAAAACATTTGAGTAGCAAATTTGTGTTTATTATGTGCTGAAAATCGCATTTAGGTGTTGATTATTTAGTTATACAGTTCCAGTTTATAAGTGTGCTGTTTTCTGATCAAAAAATAAAAACAAATTAATGAATATTACTTGTGCATTCTTTACTATTGTATTATGCACACACCACACATTAAGTCAGTATTTCACTGTAATAGTTGTCATATTCTTATTATCAACAGGGCATCTCTATTTAAATTATAAAAGAAAAACTTAATACAATTTTTTAAAAACTGGAAGAACTACATGTCAAAGTTCAAAATACCCCAATGACATGTACAGTACCTAGTGTTTCTCAAACTTCACCTTCCAGTAGACTTGTTAATAAATTTTAATGTGCCATTTACCTAATTTGCATTGTTTGCTGTAAATATATTTGCCTAGACCCACAGGGATCTGTGGATCACACATTGTTGAGAAATCTGCTAAAATTATCTCAACCACCTGGACATGAAAATTTCTATTCAACACTACAGTACAAAAATTTTCAATGTTTTCCAATAATGTCAAATAAAGAAAGCAGTTAAGTATCTCAGAATGGATTATTGAAGAAGGCAATGCAACACCTGAAAATCTTGCAAGGAGCAATACTCCAAAGGAAGACTTTCTACAGGAGACTGACTACTTGGGTGTTAGATTTATGAAGAAAACCTGAAAAACTTTATGTGGCTAGCCCATTAGTGAGACGCAAGCCTGCAATCAACCACCAGTGTTTTTTATCCACTAAGACATTGATGGGGCTAAGCACATAAGGAAGCCAGTATTGATTACCATGGCCTAGACCAAATTTGTGTTACTTTACAATTTCAAGTAATTTGAAAAATTATTTAAAATTTAAAATGTAATTTTTCCTATTGGCAAGCACCAAATCCGACAGAGGGCGCTGTTTTGAGCCAAGATGGCTGCCGAAACAGGGTAAGGGAACGATCACGTGTTTGTTCAGTGCCTGAGTCAATTTAGTTTCTATCAGTGACGACTACTGCGAGGACCAAATGAAGAACAAATCATTGAATTTACGTCAAATTCTAGACTATATCGGCGACAGGAAACGTTATCTTATAGAAGGTGAAGCCATTTTGGATATATGAATCGTGTACAGTACACACACAACATAATGTGTGCTACAAACTTTTGACTGGCCTATGTTGTATAAGTGCTGAATGACTCAGCCGGGTAGCTTTCAGATTGGCACTAATTTTAACTATTATGATAAATAAAACTGTGTTTTTATATTGGAACATGGTGTATACTGTTTAAAATATTTAAATACTTCTCACCTGTTAACGTATAATAATCATGCTATCACATGTTTACAAAAACCAGACAGCCCCGCATTGCACGTGCATTCTCCCTGTAATTAAGATGTATCAAAATGCCAATATCTGAGATTGCAACACTAAAGCAACATGAACTTCGGTGTTGTTGTTAGAGTTTAATCCACAAAATACGATGTGTCCAGCATCCAAAACGGCTTCACCTTCTACAAGACAACGTTTCCTGTCGCCAATATAGTCTAGAATTTGACATAAATTCAATGATTTGTTCTCCATTTGGTCCTCGCAGTAGTCGTCACCGACGGAAACTGAATCGGCTCAGACACTGAACAAGCACATGGTCGGTTACTTACCTGTTTTGGCAGCCATCTTGGCTCAAAAACAGCGCCATCTGTCGGATTTGGCGCTTGCCTATTAACTTTAGTTAAAGTAATTTAACTTAAATAACATAAAGGAGTGTTTTACAAGACAAAATGGCAAAAAGTACAGATTCGGTATCCGTCCAATAACACCGATCCAAACTCTCCCCGAGAACCCGCAAGGAACGCCGGCCAGAGCAAGGGAGATGAGCAATATTTTGCACGGCGGCATCCGAAAAATGCCGCGGTAGCCAAACGGGAACAAACAAAAGGAAAACCACAAAATTTAATCAAATCGACGCCCAATTGCTTACATAATTAGATTTCTACCAGATTTTGCCTCAAAGGGGTTCCGTGGGGCATCAAAGAATTTTTTTATCTCATTCCGTTAGTATTTTTTCATATCAGACCCGTTAAGGAACGTGGCTTTCGTACTGTTTTCCGCCACGTTACAAACTAGCACAGAAGACCCGTGCCGGTTGACCGTTCTTCGTATTCGTACCGATACACCGTTTTGACCGTAAACATAGTTTACGGTCAAACAGCGTATCGTTATACACAATCTCTTCACTTTTAACGGGACCTACATTTACGGGCCACTAAAAAATTGAAAAATGTACTGTATAAATTGTTTATTAAATTTTACATAATAAATATTTTTTGAAATATAACTGTTATACAATGATTACGTTAACAATTATTTAATTCTTGATTATTTTGAAGAGTTTTTTAGGAACTTTATTTTACCAGGTTGACCTTAGTAAAGGTTAACAGTCCTGTCCGAAACGTTATTTACGGTTTCGGCTGTAGTAATATTTGAACGAATTACGAGTGTCTCGACTCGACGTATCTCGAGCAGAAAGCGACGACTCTTCCCGTCTGTCGACAATTCCCATTCTCAACCGAATTTCTATGAATATTTGGACGAGTGGCCAATAGATCGATGAAAGTTTTTGCTTCTTGGCCCGCATTTATCGATCGCGGTAACGCGTCGCGCCGTCTTCTTCCACTATTTTAACCGAATTAATTTGTACCGAAATCGCCGCTCGTTCTTCCTTCGCCTTCGCTCCACGCTCCGAACTAATAATAGACCTAGTTGGGTTTTCATCACGCAAAACTTCTCGACGTCGCCCGCAATTACGTGCACCGATCCGTTATTAACGTATTAAAGAACAAGGCGGAGGATACGCACCTAACGAAAGTAGAAGACGATAGAAATCTCTTCGGTCTTTCCTTTTCTCCAACGTTAGTCCACGCCAAGATGGCGGACGTCCCACAATGCCTCGGTACTCGGACTTCCTCAGTCGTATCTGCTTTCTACGGATTCCGACCGGAGTCCGTACGAAAACCACCGCGCGCCGCCAAAGATTTCGAATTCTTTCGGCGAAAAAATAAAAATATCGTATCGGGCCCGACACTTCCTATAAAAATATAATTTTGCCATAAATTCGTTAAGAAAATATTCCCCGAGTCTTCGTTCTCCTTCCACCCGTCGACCACGATAGACGGCCGGATGGCCTAGCGGTCGAGGTAGTAGCCTACCGCTCTGGGGGAATAATCCCCGGGAATTTTTCGGGGGTGATCCGTCCGGATACGTCGGGCCTCGTCCCTCACCACCCGAACGCTTCATTGCGGGCATTGCCCAACCCATAATAATTTGGCTAAAAGAGACCCTCGTAGTGCCCACGGGGCAGAGTTGAAAAAAAACACGTGCACCGATTTAAAACTTAATTTACAAAAGTGAGGTGTGGCTGTGTCGGCCGTGCGTTTTACTCGAATACGTGTACGTTAACGGGTAATATTTTTACGTTTCCGGCACCGCTTCACTCTATCGTATGGTGTTTTATGCGTATCACCGGATTGCTCTCGAGAAGCCCTTTCCAACCGTATACGATTTCTATATTTTGATTTGGCTTTTCGACGAGTGTAGACTTCATTGTATTAAGTTTTCGACTAATTTCGAATATTCTAATAGAGGACCTTCTTTGAATCCTATTGATGTAATACATTTGTTACAGGTTTTTTAGGTTTGTACTATCTTGAAATTAGTATATAATTAAATTTTGGTTATATTTTGTTACCTTACACTAATTTTTGTACTTCTTTTTATACAATACAGTTTATGGTTAAACTTTACTACGCGCACCGTCACGGCCGCACTTCCGGCAAGCATCTTTTGAATTTCAATGTAAGCGGTGCTGTTAGCCAAAAAGTCATATAAATAAGATTTATTTAATTGTAAATTATAAATGTACATTTTAATAACAAGCGGATATCGGATCTAATGTAAACAGCTACGCTAACTATCGATTTTTTTCATTTGTTGCCTCATATTAAATCTTAAATATGAATGTAAATATAAAAATATAGCAAATTCATGCTAGATGTGTTCAAAAACTTCCAGATTTCTTTATAAACGACTTTAAAGAACATTTACTATTCGAAATATACAGAGCCACGCGCACTTTTTGTCGGAATGTGGCGGATTTTAACCACGTGATACAACTAACCGATAGAAAATTTGACAACCCATTGTGGCTACTCCGATAATCTAGGTACTCTATCCCGGAATTTTTCCTACAGCCATCTAGCGACGAGTGGTCTGTTCCAAAAACTGTTCCCGCAATGAAGTATATTTCTCCTTTCATACATTTTAAGTGTATTTCTGTCACTGGCAGAGTAAAAATTCGCATCCATTGCAAGTTCTGGAATTAGTGTACCGGAATTAGTGTATCTTTGGAAAGAATTCGTTTTGTCCCAGATTTTATCCCCGAGTACTCGACAACCCTACTTTTAAGGATGCGGCGATACGAGGGATTCGGACAACTAATCAAAAGTTCCATAAACTGCATACAATTTTGTTATCGTTCTGTAAACGGCTCCGAAATGAGAAATTTACGGCCGGGGGAATATCGAATATTAAATTCGATTAACCGAAACTCTTCCTGGAAGTCGAAATTTTTTAGCCGTTAAACTTCCACTTAACGAGTTTACTTTAATTCAGACTGGTAATTAATGCGAAGGATTAAGTTTCGCAAATGATTTCGTCGGGAGTGTGACGGGAACTCGGCCAGTGGAACAATCCAATGCATTCGATTTTTTGCCAATTGCTAAACGAACACTCGAGAATTGAAATATAGCGACCCGCGGGCACCTGTTTCTCAGACACGACCGAACACTAGTTTTTGAATACAGTTCACCGTTAGACTCGACACATTTTATTTTCCACAAATCGTCAGGTGAGAACCAGCGGGTTCTATCTGACTTAAACAATTTTACAGCGGAACAAATTTTAACGTTAACCGTATGGAAAGGATTAAACGTAACTACTATATCATTACCACGAACAGGATGAACAACAGGTTCACTAGTAACTGACACATAACTGTGAAACGTGATGCCAGATAATTTTTTATATGCTCTGGAGATACAACCAAGGCCGAGCGATAACAAAAATTCCTGCCTATAATACATAAAAATGTAAAAATAGTAGCGCATACTCACGGATTCGGCCCAGTTCGATCGAGCTACCACCAATGTTTCGGATGCTACAATATGGCGCGAGTAGTTCGTTCCGTGTCCACTAGGGCGGTAGGGCGCCTCCCGTTCCTTCCCGACCGAGAAAACTCAAATTTTAAACCTAAGCTTTTCCAGTTATCGTCGAGGTGCCGGCGAAACTTCCGGGTCGATAGGTCAAAGTTCGCGGGGTTTCCATTCAGTTTTACGGCTTAATTTTATGCTGGTAAGGATAAAATTTCATCGAAACGAATAATTTTTATTCAAAATGTTCCCTCGAGGAAATGCAAACGACGGCGAACGACTCGTCATTCGTTATCCACGTCGACCGGTATTATTTAAAAGCGTTGGGCAAACGATTTCAAATACAGTAGTTTTAATAAGGTAGCGACCTTTCTGAAGTGTTTGCTTGTTTGTTAGTTATGGCAACGCAACACTCGGGCGATCTGCCTAGGGGGATGCCTTCCGGGAGGTCTTTTTAAGGGAAACTGGCTCCTATTTAGGCGTTACGGACGTGGAGAAAACCCGGAAAACTCTACGTGGCCAGCCTGTCCGAGCCAGGCGCGAACCCGCCACCGAACTCCCGGTGTTCGGGGAACGAAGACCGCTCGGCCACTGGTGGGCCTCGGAGTGTCTACGAGCCGAACGAGCGAGACAAAAATAGTATTAGCACAATAACAATTTAATCAAAAGAACCGACAGGAAAGAGGAGAATTCTCGATATTGTTATTAGACTTTCCACCGGATGCGTGTTAAAGTTCATTGTCGCGCTATTGCAAAATTTTAGCACTGTATTTTAGTATATGGTCGATGACTTTCCTATCGAGAACCCGATAACCGCCAACCCTATCCGCAGTCACTCTATATTTTTACCGTCTGGCGAATTTATGGCTTTCTAATAAAACTCGCTGCGTACAGATTTCGTATTCTATCAATTCGGTAATATTCCGTCACCAGTCTGCGTATCTCATAATTTACGAACTGTCCGGACGAAAGGATTCCGAAGTATTGGGAGTTTACGGAATGCGGTTTCCCAGACGAATGTACTACTTTACCGTACCTCGCGTGCACGTGCGATACAATGGTCTAATTTAGATCATTTTTCCGAAAACACCCTCGGCAGTAACGTAAATCACAGTTTACGTTACGGCGCACCGCCTTATTTTTGTCAGGGAAATGGTTTTAGTCACCAACGTTTCCGGCTTCTTCCACAAACCACTTTCGAGTACCGAATTATGTTCTATTGTAAAGAATATAAATTTCTAACGGAATTTCGAATGCAACAAATTCAAATATGAATAAAAGAAAAAGACGGAAATGGAGAAGTCGGTAAGTCCTCCAAACGGTGTTTTTAGGATACGGACTTCTCCACCATTTTCTCCGTTACGCGTTTGGAGTGACGGTTGCAATACTTATAATAATAAATCACACACACCTGAATTGTTTTTTTGCCGAGTTATTTTTTTTTTTTTTTTTATTCCAAACGTTTTCGGCCAATTCGTATAGGCCATCTTTAGGTTTTAATAGTTTTCGTTGTAATGGAATCATTCGTTCGAAATTCGTTTGAATTTGAACTTATTACAACTTTTGTGTATAATAAATAAATTAAACTAAATATATGATAAAATGTAATCTAAAATCGCGTTTCAATTTAACAATAAAAATAAAAGAAAAATTATAACTTTGAGTTTGAAATACTAAACACTCCAGAACATGAAAATGTTTATGGATTATTAAAACCCATATTTTTCTCAATTTTATATTTCCAAGCCGTTGGTAATGCTTTTGCATCTTTTGCATTTAGGCATCTGTCCCTCATCTTACTTCTGTAAATCTCTATTTTCTCCATTTCCATTGCGATGGAAGGTGAGTGTCCCGTCCTAACAATCTTGGCTTCATCCCATTTGACTACTGATCCGTCTGCCTGTGCCATACTTGCTAATATCGTACTATTCAGTTTTTTATTTATACTATATTTGTGCTCCTTTAGTCGTACTTTCAGGTTTCTTCTGGTTACTCCGATATACTCTTTCTCAATACCTAATTGTTGGTTCTCAAAGGGTATACTGTATACACCCGGTTGGTCTTCTAAATTAATTTTGTCCTTGTCGTTTCTTAATAATCTATAAATATTGGGTGCTCTTTTATATATTATCCTTGCATTTTTGTATTTTCCTAATTCCTTCACCACCTTCTTCGTTTGTTCATTGTATGTGAACTTATTGAATGTAGTATTGTTGTTATGGTTTGGATTCGTAGCTTTTTGTTTACCGTAGCTTTTTACAAGGCCTATGATTGTGGACTTTCTGTATCCTAAAGTCCTTGCTATCTGTTGAATTCTATTAATTTCTTTATCCCTGTCTTGTACATTGGTGCAGTACAGGAAGGCCCTTTTGATCAGTGCCTTAAACGCAGATAATTTATATTTATATGGGTCTTTTGACCATGCCGGTATGTATAAAGGAGCGTGTGTTGGTTTTAAATATACGTTCGTTTGTATGTTTCCTAATTTGAATTCCATGTTAATATCCAAGAAATGGATGTTCCTTCGGCTTTTTTGTTCTAATTTTAGCTTCAATCCGTGCTCATTATTGTTGNGTTTTTAGTATTTCAAACTCAAAGTTATAAATTTTCTTTTATTTTATTGTTAAATTGAAACGCGATTTTTAGATTACATTTTATCATATATTTAGTTTAATTTATTTATTATACACAAAAGTTGTAATAAGTTCAAATTCAAACGAATTTCGAACGAATGATTCCATTACAACGAAAACTATTAAAACCTAAAGATGGCCTATACGAATTGGCCGAAAACGTTTGGAATAAAAAAAAAAATAAAAAATAACTCGGCAAAAAAACAATTCAGGTGTGTGTGATTTATTATTATAAATAGATAGCATTGCTGAGAGGGTAGATAGGTTGCAATACTTTTAATAGCCCACCAGTGGCCGAGCGGTCTTCGTACCCCGAACGTCGATTTTGGTGGCTGGGACGGGCCGGCCACGTAAAGTTTTCTCCACGTCTATAACGCCTAAATAGGGGCCAGTTTCCCCTAAAAAAGAACTCCCGAAAGGCATCCCCTAGGCAGATCGCCCAAGTGTCCCATTGCCGTAACTAAACAAACAATACTTTTAATAAAGGACTTAGAGGACTGAGTGTTGTTTAACGGCCGATTAGTCATTAGTAAGAAAACGGAAGGAAGGGGGAAGATACAGGGCCGGATCATGGCATAAACAAATATCTTGGGCCCAAAGGGTGTTAATCCGACCCTGGAAAGATAGAATGAAGTGGCGAAGAATACGTCACTCGAGACGTATTTCCCGCCAACCTAGCCGTTAGTGGATAACGTTAAAATTAGCGGAAACGTTGGACGAGAGAGGAAATGTATTACTTTCCAGAACGCTCGGCCGGGACTTATCGTCGGCGTTAAAAGGTCAAACGCGGAAATAAATTTCCATCCGGTNCCGGTAAGAAGAAAATGTCTAGGGCCTAAAGAGGGTTAATCCGGCCCCGGGAAGGTAGAATGAAACGGTGAAGACGTATTTCCCGCCAACCTAGCCGTTAGCGGAAACGTTGGACGGGAGAGGAACTTTCCAGAACGCTTGGCCGGGGACTTATCGTCGGCGTTGAAAGCTCAAAGGCGGAAATAAATTTCCATCCGCGTACGAGTTGCCAAGTTTATCGCCGTCAATATTTATAAAAGAATTGATATTTTTTTATTGTATAAATCGTGATATAAAAATATTTCGAAGCAGTTTAGAATGGTTTTCTTATCTCCATTTTGTAACAATAATTTCTCCCAAGACTGTGTCGGTGCTCGGCGTAATCGCAACGTTTATACACTGACCGTTCCTTCGTCGTAATTACTTTGCCATTTTAAATTAATAATTTAGAAATTCTCCAAGCTCAAGTTTCAAGTTCCGCGCGTACCTCTCGTCGTCCACGTTTCTGTTCGACAGATACGCTAACGACCAGAGGACCACCAGTTCCGCTCCCCGAAAAATGGGAGTTCGGTGGTGAGTCGCGCCCGGCCGTAACGCCCGAATAGGGGCCGGTTACCCTCGAGACCTCCCGGAAAGCATTATCTCCGCCTATAGCCGAGCAATAGAGACGCACGGGCCGATCCTTGGCGCGAATAGAGAACGTCCGCGTCTCTGGTTTGAAGGAAACTGGGTGAGCGCGTACCCCTAAATTAAATAGCCTACAAAAAAAATTGCTATTAGGAATTACTGGAGTATACTGCGCTACATCGCACTCTGTGTACCGGCGGGCCTAATGCCTCTGGATTTAGAAATACGACAGCATAGTGACGCAAGAAGAACCGTAAAATAACAAACGTCTACAAATTGGTTAAATAACAAACGTCTACAAATTGGACACAAGATTGGTGACGGGAGACGGAGATTTTACGAAATATCATTATACATTTAATCGTCGAGACGACGAATTTGTGGGATAAGTGACATACACATCTTATTTGACTGTACGCAATATGAAAAAATAAGAAACGAAGTAAAATTAATTTATAATAAAAAGGTTACAATCAGCCTATTAGGAAATCGGTCTTATAAATAATGTTAGCGTATATTATTATTTCGACGAATTTATAAAAATTTGTTATAAAAACAGAACATAAAAAAATTTCTCATACAGATCATTGTCAAACTAATGATATCAAATATACTTTACTCAACAAAACAATATACCGTATTTTGACGAGTATAAGTCGCACTTTTTGGGGCTCAAATTCATGATTCGTCTTACACTCGACAGGTAACCATTTTTACAGTGAAATTACCTACAGTAGTGGTCCACTGTAGGGACCAACCTGTGCAGTGGTCCGTTAAGCACATGGTCCCTCAACCGAATGGCTAAGTACCTAGATTATCAGAATCATCGCCGCCGTGTTCTGTCGACTGTCATAGCGTGACCTCTGAGTTTACATTAAGAAATGACGATTATTTCAGTTTAATAAAAGTATCGATTCATACATCCGTCATATTCTTGAATTAAAAAAAACGAATAAAATGCGTGTTTAGACAATCCCACTAAAAAAGTTTTTTCTAAATTTTTTCTCTCAAAATAGGGGCGCGTCTTATACTCGTCAAAATACGGTAATTAATGTCAATAAAAACAGAATTGTCGGGTATTAATGTATTGCGACTACCTGCAAAGCGGGGTTAATTAAAAGAGGCAGCAGCATTTAATGCTAGAGGTCGGAGGGAGTGCTCCACTAAATGTAAAAAGAAATGTAGCCCTAAGCGCAGAGTTCGTCCAGCGAGAATCGGCCGTTTCGCTTCTCTTTCTACGCCGTTAGCGGAGTGGATAAGACGCTACGCGACGTACGCTCCAACCTCGGCAATTTCGGTCGTTTCTTTTGCGTAATAAAATTTTATTTCGCCGCATCAACAGCGCGATTATTCCTCACATTTAGGGTGCGACTATGCAGACGCGAATTTAGAGCCAGCGATTTAGTTTTCGCAAAGGAAAACCATGCGCAAACGAGAAGCGAGAAATAACGCTGGCGAGAGCGAATTTCTGGTTCTCGCGCATATTTGACAGGTTTTGATATTTATCGCGTCTCGCCATATATTCTCGCTCGCTCGCGTCTGCATACTCGCACCCTTACGGCTTATAAACAACGCGACATTGTTTCCCGTTTCGCGAAAAGAAAGTTTCCGTATATTTAACTCTCGTTTGTGGTTAAATAAAATTTTTATTTTTTCGTAATTTCGGATTTGGTAGTATTGTTATATTTGAAGCGTAACAAACACCGGCGCATCGGGAAATTGTCCGTAACGATTAAAAAACGATACGGTACGACTCGGCTACCGTATTTTCGTATCATACCAGTCTTTTTTTTGTCTATCCGCAGCCACGTCCAAAGCTTATTGGCCGGTGTTGACGTACTACGTAACCGTAAGGCTAGGACTCCACTACCGTAAAAACCCCTCGACGTAAAAGCTTTTAACCACGTGACCCTGATATCTTACGCTTGAGCAGGCCGTAAAACCAGCGTGAAAGCGAGTTGAGCTATGTTCAACTTTCGCCAGGATTACGACTGTAAACGGTATCTTCAACCAATCAGAAGTCAGTGGAACTACGTCATCGCAACACGAAGCTAAAATGGCAGAAAACGAGCTTTTGTGTACGTGCCCTCGTGGCTACTCTAGAATAGATCCAGAAAGATATATCGAAAACATCCGAAAGTATTCGTGTATCTACGACAAGAGGTAACTCGATTATAATAATGGATATCAAAGGAAATCCTTCAATTTAGAGGCGTATATAATAAAAAAGCTAAGCTTATAAGTGCTGTATATTATCTTAATAATACGATAATAAAAGTTAGTATATGAAAGTAACGATATTATTTTTACTACATTTGTAATTATAGTACAGAAAATACTCGTAGAATATAATCATTGTCTTTATACCGATATATCACGTATACAACCGTCTTTCGTTTCTACCAATTCACGTGCGAAGAAGTATTTACTTTGGACACTTGGAGCAGCACCGTCGCCGTAAAAACTTCGCGCTAGCCGGACTACACCGTAATCCGAGCGCAAACGCAAATAGGTCACGTGATTAAAAGCGTTTACGGCGAGGGGATTTTACGGTAGTGGAGTCCTAGCCTAAGAATAAACATCTTTTTACGCGCTTTAAACCCCAGAAATAACAATACGGTAAAATAGCGACGTACCGGTACGAATTACGCGGACGTCGCTATAAAGGCTGTCGGTCGGGTTAGGGCCGGACGGTACCGTACGTAGTCCCTATTTTACCATAAAATTAACGTAGGCGGTTATAGTAATAAATTCAAACGGGCTACCGCCGCAAATAGACACGACCGGAAGTGTTTCGAATTCGGAAAGGCGCAGTCATTCCGTTTCAAGTAATTTCAATCGAGTTAAACGGGAAAAATCTACGGTCGATTAGGCGCGGCTTTAGCCCGGATAATCGTCTTTGGGCGTAATTGGCGGGATCCGCATTAACGCGCACGGGCCACCCCGTCTTTAATTAGTCCATAAAAATCGGTGGTAGAATCGGCAATTTAAACGCCTTTAATTAACCGATAGGGTAGAAATAAGAAGAACTTATCGTGTTTCGCCATTCGTTTGCTTTAATTTCGTATAGCGCCCGCGTTCTAACTTCGGCTTATTTATCGCCTCCGTCCCGTAGGGCCTAAGGCCAGAATTGGCCGAAGCCAGGCGCCACGACTTACGGGCAAAGCGGCCTTCCGATAAAATTCGTCGTAACCGAAAAGGCGGTGGTGGAAAATTGAGTTTATCCGGACCCTCCGCCGAAGACATTCCGTTAACGGAATTGGTCCTATGTGGAATCGAAACCCACTTTGGACGGGGGTAGACGTCCGATGGTTAAAAGGAACTGCGTACAAACTCTCCGACCTTTTCTTTCTTCGGAAGGCTTCGGTAGTCTACGCTAGTATTGTACACTATGTACTGTACCAGTACCTAAAATTATTGGCTTCTTCGGAGATTATTTTTTCCTCCAGAAGTTGTAGTCGAATCCATCCCGCCTTCTATCGTTTTTCTTCTTTCCGCTTCGTCTATCGACGCACGTATTTGAAAAGTAAAATTACGCCTTCCTTTTCTCTTCCGTTTTATCACCGAAACTGGCCCGGAACAGCACGCGCCGAGACGAAACCGAAATCCGACGGCGGATTTGCCCAACCAAGTGGCAACTAACGACACTGGCCAATCCCGGCGTAATCGCTTTTAACGGCGCGGACGGTGGATAAGGCCGAGTTTTCCCACGAGANGTTATGCTCAGTTCTACTTTAAATGACCACATCCACGTTGGATATTTAAGAGGCAGGTTTTGGTGTACAGTACTGAAATTCATGGTGCGTCTACACACATGTTAGATAAATGAAACTATTGGCGCTTTACCTTATAAGGATCATAGGAGTACTAAATCATGGATTATAGCATCCTAAACAAATGAGGAATAAACTGAAGAATTTCTCAACAGTTTATCATAAAGATTGTGCTTCCTGAAACTACGTATTTTGCTCCTAACAATCCTGGTAGCACGGAAAGCTTAATACTCTGGTACTTCAAAAGTATTAGTATAATAAGTTATGTAAAACTAAATGTAACCTTATGTAAATTTAGCGATGTTTTATTGTATTTTCATGTGATATTCCAGATGTATTATAATATTGTATTTTCATGTGATGTATTTATAGTATTAATTTTATTTAATATTTTGTAAAACATCGAGGTATCAAATATTTATTGTAAACGCGACCATTTACTGCGTACGTATTTAACAAACTTGTCTCTACTTTGTAAACGTGGTAAGTTATGTTATTATTATTATTTTTTGTTTTGTTTATATTATTCTATTTATTATTTATTTATTATACGCGTGTGCAACCATATATATATATATATATTGTACACGCGATTTAATTATTACTTCTGTGTTATCTACTGTAAATCTTCAATGTTACCATTATTGTAACCTTGATTTACCCGGTAATGCTCTGTGGCACCGGGGATGTGTCTACGGACATATTACTATTAAATATATCTGTATCTGATCTGTATCTGTTATCCGGAGCATCGGACGATGCGTGTAATTTGACTTCCGGAAAGGTTGCCGTCGACCCGGAAATTAAAATCAAATCCGCGGCCTAGCATCGACGGCCTCGGCCTAACCTGGGCGGCTAAAACCCGCCCGGAGTTTCTCGGAAGAGGCGCCTCATTCCCGGAGGGTGGGGAAGGGCGCCGATGGCCTCTTCCTCCGGTCCCGCGCCTCCGACTAGAGGAGGCCGGAGAAGAATAAGGACGGAATCCCGGGCGGCGGAGGCCGTCGGGACCCGACCAACTCAATGGAACTCTCTTTCTACCGTTTACGTCTGCGCCAAAAATGCCCGGAGGGGAAAGCGCTATTCCCGGTAAAAGAGGGGTTACTTATCGGCGTTACGGAGAAAAGATTACGAAGGCGGCTCGGCGCGCGCGGAAAGTTTTGGCTTCCGAAAGGGGTCATCCCCGTCACTCACCGTGGGCGTCGGAGATCCGGTAGTATCCGTCCGTCGTCCCGCGGTCTTCGCCCGCCGGCGGGCCGCTGCCGTTTCGCATCGGAGGAAAGACGGAGGCGGGTGGGTCCGGGTCGACGACGGCGGCGCCGGAAGTCGGACCGTTCTCCCGCTGTTGGCAAAAAGAAAAATCACCGGATGAGTTCCCGTCCGTCGGTCTTTTAGGAGCTAGGTCGCGCGCGCCACCGAAGAAAGAAAGGGCGAAAGAAGTCGGCGCGGAAGCGGAGGCCGCCCAATTTCTTTCGTCCGTCCCGGCTAAACCCGTGCTGTATCGTTTCTCGGACGCGTCGGCCAGCTTTATCTTAATTCCGTACCACCCCGTAAAGAAACCATTTCCCGCCGTCGAGGCCTGGGAGTCTATTTACGTCCTTTCCCGGGAACGGGCATCCGTGCCGTTAAATCTCGGTAGTTAACGGCGGAGGGTCCCACCCGCCGTAACGATCGAAAGACTCATCGGCCGGGGTATTCGTTTTTTAACAACGGATTAGGACTGCGTCCAGACGTTTCCCCGCGTTTAAAACGGGCAGAAAAGACCCGGAAAGAAATTATTAATAAATACAGAAAACGTTTTATCCAGTCGTCGTTTACAAATAAGAAGTAAAAGTTGCCCAAGGTCGATGCCCTATTCTCTTTATTACGGCAATTTACCGTAGATTAATAGGTAACCGGCAGGATACCCGCCGCCCGCCGGTTTGGGGGTAGAAACCGAGGAATTGCCGCCGGGCGGCAAGAAAAAAAAAAATGGGGCCGAGAGAGCGGGAGGTCGAGAGTTCGGACAGGTAAAGGGCAAAGGGACGATATTTTCCCGGCCGAGAGATTAACAAATCCCGGGACCGAAGGGTTTTAATGAGAAAATTTCCGATGTAAGAGACATTTAACCGGAACCGTTAACCCAATTTATTTTCCGTGGAGAAAGTATTTTAAGCGTTATTTAGGCGGACGGGACTTTAGACTCACCCCGTAGACTCTGGACTGGGAGGAATATATTTTCCAGTGGTTGTCGGTAGGAAGAACCGTTTCTTCTGTTATGATGCCTCTTCTGTCTATCAGACTGCCAAAAAGTTTTTCTATTAGCATACGTAGGTATACGGCTAAAATCTTAACTTAATATTAAAAAAGACCGCGCATTTTACGTAGAAGGGACGATCTTTCCTTTCCGTTAACCAATCGCAGTTTAGTTAACGTCGTATTTTTCTCACGCCACTGCAACCCGCCATTTTCTAAGCGGAGCGCGTGGTTTTAGCATCGTCGCCTGTCGGCGCTAGCGAAATAGTTTTGCTTTAATATGTCGAAGGACGGCGAACTACCAGTCGCCAGTTCCAGATGCTCGTTAATTTTATGGAAGACGACCCTAAATTAATGTCGGGGAAGTCGGATGCTTCCTTCACCGTAAAAGATGGCCAAACGGAACGTACATACGGCTCGGAATAGCATTTTCGCAGTTGTTTAAACGCCAATCACATGGTTCCGATAGAAACTGATTTTTATCTTATTCGTTAGTTTAATGATACTACTCAGAATAAGTCCTCCGGCCAGATAAGAGTCCTTAAGAGAAAAGTCCCCCGGCCGGATACCTTAAGTCCTTATCTAAAACTTTCTTTTGCTCTTTCTGCCCCGTGGGCACTAAGAGAGCGTCTTTTAGCCAGCCCATTATGGGTTCGACCAGGCCCGCAATGGGGTGGCCGAGTGGTGCGGGACGGGGGCCGATGTATCCGGTCGGACCACTCCCGAAAAATTCTTGGGGATTTTTCGACCTGTCCGGATTCGATCCAGGGAGCGACAGATTGCCACCTCGACCGCTCGGCCATCCGGGACAAACATGGGGAGACGAAACAAGACAGAACTACGTTCAGTGCAGGGACCTGTTGGAAAAACTTGTAGCCCGAGGCCAATAGCAGATCCAGAAATCTCGAAAAAGGTGGGAAGGGAAACAATATGGCCTCAAAAGGTTTTACTACTTGAGATGCCTGCTTTACTTGCAAAAATCCCAGAAGGGAGTGCAGCCGTGCCCCACACACCTCTCTAATCCACCCCTGCCTGAGGCTATAAAGGACCACTTCAGATGCACTGCAAACCATTCCAGATGTATGGAGTGAAAAAAGAAATGCAGAAATAAAGAAGTGTTGGTGTAGGATTTGAGGACATAGAAGAGAAGAACTTCCAGGAAGTCATTGATGAGCAGACAATAATATTAAAAGAGATGATCTGGAGGAGTTCATTTGTTCAAATTCTATAGGAGAAGATGAAGTTGAAGAACAACAACTCCAAGAAACTCCCTAGAAAATTTCAAAAAGAAATGCGTGATACTAAACACCTCGAAAATTTCTTTTACACAATTATTATTTATCATCACAAAAACGTTTTAGCAGCAAGCAAACCATCATATTTCTTTACAAATATGATAATTATCTGGTTTGTGCAATGAAATTTAAGAAAAGACTCGATATTTTATCCTGGTACACAACTATGTTCGGAGAATAAAAAACAAAAGCAACAGCTTCCCATTAGTATGATCTTCCAAAAAGCATCCATACTGATACACACCACTACTACTGCCACTGAATCTGTCTTAAGTCCCCGCTTCTTCAGTATCCGACATTCATATTCTGAAATGGAGCTCTATCAAATGCTACTCACTATGGTCACTATAGTCCAATTTTCATGTATTTCTCAGTGCACTCAATATGGCATAAAATTTTTTCCTCTTTACATTCAGAAACATCAGACTTAAATGTTATTTAACAACGTTTAAGTCTGATTAATAACGTGTAAAAGCATAAGTTTTTATTATGATGATTTTATTATCAATAAGCTTACCCAGATAGCTGTGCTCTTTGAAAATATAACTCGTGCTCGTTAACAAGAATGTAAAGGAAACCGAATGTGTCGGCTAAATTTAAAACTAGAGTAGAAAAGCAATCTTAACATTAATATTTTTTACACTGACATTATATTTGGAGATATACACATACACACCAATATATATAAAGTCTGCATTCAGTCCTCTGTATATTCTTGTTAACTCACATGACTCCATTGTATATAATCCTTTAGAATGTTCATCGCATGAGCATATTCGCACTGCTCAAGTATTAAGGATCAACTAAAAGGTCTTAAATATATTAAGTATAGCTCCAAAGAGAATGGTACCGGGACAAGCTTATCAATAATCTTATCAAAAAGCATTCAATACCATGGCCATGCTCCACAGTGTGAAGCATAATAAAACATGTGTGACATTTACCAGGATGCTATCAAAGAAAGAAAAGCTTGTCTGGTCTGCCATAGAAATCCCTCTACATATAATTTATTACAAAATGATAAAGAACAATCTCCCTACAAGAACACCATAAGTTGGGTGTCTATCAGATTCCAGCCAGAGATAACCAATTTAACATTTGTATGTGATACGTCAGATACGATTCTAGACCATTTGAGACAAGACTAAAAAAAGCATAAATGCGACATATGCATTAAGAGGTCTACGGTGGCACTATTGGCCTTTGCTTTGGATGATAGTAATGCAGTGGAATGGGAGAAAGCCAGAATTATAAGACCGGTTAAAAAGGCAACTGGCAAAATTCATTGAAGCGCTTGTATATTTCAAGTACAAGTTTAATTTCAAACCTTGCATATTTCAGTGGCCATACATACATCATCAACGGGAGGAATTGCAGCATCTGTTTCCACCATGTAGAAGTTTTTGTTAAAAAGTTTACTTCCTGCTTTATGTAATCATGTTGTATGGCATGTAGTGTTGGTCTTGATGCCTGATTGTTTACTGAGACATAAATAATTTGCATTTTAATGTTTATCTGGATATTATTTTGTCAGTATGAGCATGTTGGGATGTATGCATATTTCTTAAAATTTTATTTTATTTAGTTTTATTGTCGGGATAAAAAATCGTCGGGCCAACGGTTTTTCCCGCGCTTTTTCCACGTTCCAACGAACATCGGTGGTCGCCATAGAAACGCCACTCGTACGACTTTTGAAAACTCGACCGTTCATTGGCTAAAGGACATCGGACCATAGGCAGACGTCTTACAGAGCTGGTAAATGCTGATTGGAGGAATCCAATGCAGTTTCAATCCTATAAAAGGGTTGAGTGGTGGCGGGAAGTTCAGTTTACTTCAGTTTACTTCGGACATAGAAAGTGAACTCACGTTTCGCTTTGGACTCATAAAGTGGCCATACAATTGACTTTGTTCGCCTAAGCCGACCGGAAGATTATCTCGTCTGGTGCTACTGTAAATAACTTTATTGTTGTTCGTCGCAAGGTGCTTTTTCGACGGACCTGTTGCAGAGGATAATTAACTTGAACTTTGTTAACATCTAACGTTTGTAATTCTTATATGTGAACTTTGTTTTTGTATCTGTACATACGTTTATTTTCAATATATATTAAGTTCTTAAATTCAACTGACTAAAGTGTATTTTGAACTTGACTTTTATTTTCCATTACATTTGTCCATTATGTTGTATGCAAACTTTTATTAAGTAATAAATGCACCTAATACTAAATAGTATACAAGACACTTACACAACCAAAAATCCACTTTATGAAACAAATTGAAGGTGGAAATTGCTAAAAGCAATTGAAAACATTCATTTTTCTCCTTCGTTTTGTTTCACGAACTGGATTTTTGGCTGTGTAAGAAGTGTTTTGCATTATTTTATTTAGGTAAATTCAAATATCCTTCAGTTAAACACTTTTGAATGCTGCTGTTCCTTTGTTTCATTTAAGTTTAGACCTGAAAGAAAAGTATAACTAGCTTAAAAACATTCATTTGAAAAATAATTTATGCTGGATATTATAAGATTGTAGTATTCAGTGTGTGAATTTCGTCCAGTTGGCAATTTTTTGTTAATTATAATTGGTTGCATAAATCAACTAGGACTACTTGGGATAAAGTATAGATTTATTTACAAAGAATTTCATTTCATACTGTATCCACTGATGCGTAACTCATGGATAAAACAAGATCTGTTATGCACAACTAAACAGTTCAGTTTTCACTCAGCTTTGTGACACAAATACTAGTTTGAGACTGCAATAAAAATAATGTAAATAAAAAATAAAAATTCTTACATCTCAGCTGGCCCTGGATAGAATCATTGAAAGCATTATACAATATTTTGGCGTGTAGCATCCGCCAGCTAAACCGCACGAGGTTGGTGTTCTGTAAAGTGCCTGTGCGAATGCATATAATCTGGCTGCTTTACACGATTCAAATATTTTTATTGAGAAAGCTATCTCTTATTTGACAATATGGTGCTTCCATTGGGAATACTAATACGGTCGACCCCCTACAACACTGTTGATTATTCTGTTTTATATGAATTCCATGTTGTATGAGTCACTTAGATTTTACAAATATATGTGCCGGGCTGTGAATGGCTCACATATTTGTAAAATCTAAGTGACTCATACAACATGGAATTCATATAAAACAGAATAATCAACAGTGTTATAGGGGGGGTCGACTATATATAAACTTATATTCCAGTATACAATAGCAATCTTATCATTGTTTTTCACATGTAGTATAGAAATTTGTAATAAAAGATACATAATGCGGTTGTAATAAAATAATAATTTTAATTCAAAGTACGTTAAAATATGAAAATAATTGCATAATATGTATTTATATTTTAGAAAATACAAGGAAAGAGCACTTCCACAGCTTTCACGGATGGCACGCCACTGTTCTTTATTGATGTGCACGTTTTCATTATTAAATTTTCACTTTCCAAAAACTTGTCACAAAGTTTTTACCATTGTAAGTATAGGACTTTAACTTTCTGGTAAAAAGCTAGTTAATGTATTATACAGCAGAACACCATAAGCTCACTTAAACTATTGGAGTTACTCTATGTGATTTGCTGATTTCATTTTGTTGTTTTTATCATAATTTCATTTTCTCTCTCAACACAGTATACGCTTTGGTACCTTTATCCTGTATATATGCTTATACTGTTGTGATTTTTATACCTTTCATCTACATTATGATAGACAGTACACAATATTAATATAGACTGTATTTTCAAAATAATGTCTTCCACTCTGGCATTGCCAAGTGCCCTGTAGAATTTTGAAAGTGAATGGAATTGATTTATCTCCATAAATCATTGCATTTTAGTTTTAAATTTTAGAATTTCAGAACCTGATAAAGAAATAGTCTAAATTTATTATTTTTTAAAGTTTACTTTTTTGGAAAACAGAAGGTTCAATACAGTACAATCTTGTCTTGGTAAACCAGCCAATTTAGTTTTCAAACTCCAGTTTTCACTAAACTTGAATATCTTTACATTAAATATCGCAAGATATCAAGCCCAACTTTGAACACTCGAGCTTGGATACTACATTACAGATTGTTTGACTCATCATCTTAGGATGCTTAAAAAAAAGGTACAGTATCTTATAAAAATACTGTATAATAAAATATAAAAATCAGTTCCCCAAAATTTCCCACCAAAAATACTGTACTGTAAATTTCCACCAAATTTAGTGGAAATCCACCAACTTGGCAATACTGATTACTGGTTATGGCAGCACACTTGGATGTTTTAATCACAGCTACTGTGAGAACCCAGACTTCAAATTAAACAGCTTAAACTAAATAATAACTCAAAAGTATTATCATTTTCAATAATATAACTTTGTCAGCAGTGATATCTGTCAACTTTCACATCTGGGAGAATCTCTTCCTACATGTTCTCAGCATCAGAGGAGATGCTTTCTCGTGACCTTCTGACATGCTGTCCCAAATTTGCTGAATTAATATGACAACTAACAGTCAGCCAAGTCATTTGCCACCAGTCCCTCCAATAATAAATTAACACAAAACCTTACAGTTGGATTATCGTTGTCTCCAATTCGAAATATAATCATCTCCAATATGGCCAATATTACTACCTTCTATAATGGAATAATATAATTAGTGCCTCTAGTAAGGGATTATCCTCTTTGCCAGCTACAGATCCTCGGGACCTCAGTTCATCCTTCCATAACGGTTAGAAAATCTTCTGCCTTCAAACTGTCCCTGGTGAGCAGAACTCTCGTGTGTATGTACCTCTCTACAAGAACAATTATCACTTTTATCAATGACTCTCTTTTACTCCAGGTAATTACAACAATGTACAATTTCATGTGAACTCTCTCTTTCTTGTGAAAGCAATGTGTTTATCTCTGTTGGAACATGTAATTTTGTTGACAAATAAACAGGTATTAGTTAGTTAACCTAGTAGCTGAATGACTCATTTGCCATCTAGCTGTCTCACAGACCTCCATCCGGAATACAATCGCTTACCCATGTGAGACCAAAGTCTAACAAAAGAAAAAACAAATTGCTGTCACGGCTTATGTGTTGATAGAGACACAGTGGTGTCATCCTGACGTGACATCAAAGAGGTNTGATAAAGAAATAGTCTAAATTTATTGTTTTTTAAAGTTTACTTTTTTGGAAAACAGAAGGTTCAATACAGTACAATCTTGGTAAACCAGCCAATCTAGTTTTCAAACTCCAGTTTTCACCAAACTTGAATGTCTTTCCATTAAATATCGCACGATATCAAGCCCAATTTTGAACACTCGAACATGGATACTACATTACAGATTGTTTGATTCATCATCTTAGGATGCTTAAAAAAAAGCTACAGTATCTTATAACATACTGTATAATAAAACATAAAAATCAGTTCCCCAAAATTTCCCACCAAAAACACTGTACTGTAAATTTCCACCAAATTTAGTGGAAATCCACCAACTTGGCAATACTGATTACTGGTTATGGCAGCACACTTGGATGTTTTAATCACAGCTACTGTGAGAACCTGGACTTCAAATTAAACAGCTTAAACTAAATAATAACTCAAAAGTATTATCGTTTTCAATAATATAACTTTGTCGGCAGTGATATCTGTCAACTTTCACATCTGGGAGCATCTCTTCCTACATGTTCTCAGCATCACAGGAGATGCTTTCTCGCGACCTTCTGACATGCTGTCCCAATTTTGCTGAATTAATATGACAACTAACAGCCAGCCAAGTCGGTTGCCACCAGTCCCTCCAATGATAAATTAACACAAAATCTTACATTCGGATTATCGTTGTCTCCAATTCAGAATATAATCATCTCCAATATGGCCAATATTACTACCTTCCATAATGCAGTGTTTTTCAATCTTCTTGAATATGTGACCCCTTTACAAGTTAAAAAAATTCTGGCAACCCCCTAGGGCCATATTAAAACTATATCAGTGATTTTAAAAACTATGTATTTAATTTTCTTTCTGTTGAAACAAATTATTGTTGATTAAAATGGAAATTTCAGAAGAATCGACAATAATTTAACACACATGAAGTATGAAAGTTCCTTTAATTATAACATTACGCACAGGGAACTGTTGACCTTTTTCTTTTTTTTCTTTTTTTAGGATCTAAATTTTCAGCTTATACTTTTCTACTTTTTATTTCCATTTGCAAATCAGCTCAATACTTTTTCTGCTATCATTTTCTGGGGTGGGCTGTAATTCTCACTGAAATTGTAGTTTTTTTAATGTAGTGTAGGACCTACAAACACTTGTCTTTTTCTTCTACCCGCAACCCCCCGTGTAAGGCTTTGCGACCCCCAGGGGGTTCGCAACCCACAGGTTAAAAAAACACTGCTATAATGGAATAATATAATTAGTGCCTCTAGTAAGGGATTATCCTCTTTGCCAGCTACATATCCTTGGGACTTCAGTTCCTCAATTCATACTTCCATAACGGTTAGAAAATCTTCTGCCTTCAAACTGTTCCTGGTGAGCAGAACTCTCGTGTGTATGTACCTCTCTACAAGGACGATTATCACTTTTATCAACAACTCTCTTTTTACTCCAGGTAATTACAACAATGCACAATTTCATGTGAACTCTCTCTTTCTTGTGAAAGCAATGTGTTTATCTCTGTTTTGTCCTGCTATATTGGAACATGTAATTTCGTTGACAAATAAACAGGTATTAGTTAGTTAATCTAGTAGCCGAATGACTCACTTGCCATCTAGCTGTCTCACAGACCTCCATCCGGAATCCAATCGCTTACCCACGTGAGACCAAAGTCTAACAAAAGAAAAAACAAATTGCTGTCACGGCTTATGTGTTGATAGAGACACAGTGGTGTCATCCTGACGTGACATCAAAGAGGTGCCGAGCCTCTGGTCACACTACAGTTGCCATTTTGGAGATTTTAGCTCCAGATTTACTAGTTTCTTCTTGTCTAGAGGTGAATTTGGAGGCAAGTTGTATTTAGAGGTTTGTTTCTAAAGATAATTATTTCTGAATGTTATATAAAAAAATTTTTTAGTTGTAAATTAATAAAATTCAAAACTGTAAGTAAAAGTTCATTTTAACCAACTGCCATTGGTTAAAAAGAAAAACAGTATACAGGAGACTGTAATCAAGGTTGTAGCTTTAGGGAATTTAGATATGTTAGATATGTAAAATTGGCAACTGTGACATTAAAATGCTAATAGAAAATGACATGTTAATTATTTAAATGAAATGTTTAATGTTTTAAATGATACAGTAGTTGTAGTTATTGCTATTATTTAGGTTGGTAATAAGTTTACAATTTTTGAAATTCATAACAATCGAGAAGCTTTTTAGAGATATTTTCTATCATATTTGGAGGTTTTTGGAGGTAATTTGTTCCATATTTGAAAACAAGGTTTTACACAGCATGGCAGCAGCAGTCCAATCTGTGTTTTGATGCATTATTAACAGTTGATTCAATGCTATGAAATTTGTTCATGCGCTCAATTGTATCTATTACATCAATTGTATTCATATTTAATTACATTTTTATTGTGTTTAAATTTTATTTTACAGTATGAACTTCCAATAATTCAGCAATCATCTTAATCAGACACCATTCGAGTCCTATGTACATCAGAATACTGAGATTTTACTATGTTGATTTTATACAGTATATATAACATGTATACTATACAGAGTACATAAACTAATGTAAAAAATTTCTGTATTTATTATTATTGTAATTTTAGTGTTTGGATTTATAAAATAAAATTTAAAATTATAAACAATATATGTGATTCTTAATATATAAAAAATAATTTTTTCATAGTAACAAACTTCTAAATTATGTAAGTAACATATTTACTAGACTGTATATTATTTAAAAATTAATGAACATTCATACCTTGGAGGACCTGAAGTGCATAATACAGCCAAGCAGTTTCCACATATTGATCCTCTACTATATGGATTAACTTTATGTTGCCCATTTTTAGAAGTAAATGAACCCTTTATCTGAAAAATTATATTGTTTTATTAATTACATTCTAATTACTATCCATATATTAAGAAAACTTGTAAGTATTTACTTTAACAATATATTCTTCAGAGCAAGTATATGGAATCAGTAACACCAACTTATATGGGCTTGTGTTCACCCAATTATTTGGACTCACAAAATAATTCATTTTTTTGCAATTTAGTACTGTTTGTGTAGCAGTGTAGTTCAACAATCATTTTTAAAATAAAGGTGCACATGTTACAGATGCATTTTAATTTGGGAATCATTTCTTTGGAGCAGTCATTCTCAATGTAGACTGAGGGACCCCCTGAAGATTACAGAGAACCAAAGGGAGACCAAAGGATGTAACAAATGAAGAAGGGAGCCATGAACAATTGTAAGAGGAATGCATGTATGATTCAATTTTTATTTGATAGGCAATAGTCACAGCAAAGTCTAGTGGTGGTCATACTACAGCCTTAAAAGTTTTTATGCTAATTATTTTATTACTAGTGTGTATATTTTTATGACCTCTGAAGATAAATTCAATACATAAAAAATGAAGGCATCATTTGTTAACAATTTCTAACGCACTGATATTTTGGTGTTAGACAATTACATTTCATAAAAATATAAATATTTCTATAAGTGAATTAATATTTCTAACATCAGCAATATATTTCTAATTTATAAATAAAATATATTTTTGAAACCTAGCTACTGGCCAATCTTCATACATAAAATGTCGCATGACCCCCTACATTTCAAGACAGTGGGATTTGTGGCACTAATCAAAGGGACCTACTCCCACTGCCCAAACATGTTACACAGGTAAAAGAAATTAAATTATATAATAAATATTGCAAAAGAGCATGATTACCAATGTAAATGGGCACCTACTAACCATCCATCAAGAAACTACACTGGCCACAAAAAGGAGAGCACACCTTTGGAAGAAATCCAACCACTTAGTCTATTAAGAAATGATAAATAACATGTAGATCTGACATAAACACCAGGAATATTTGGAGTAGGCCTACTGGTTATGGACCTTAGGAGCAGTCAACAAATAGAATACATATAACTTGCAAAATGACTGAAATCATTTAGAAACAATGCTAAATTCCAGATTTTAGATGTAATGGTATAAATATTTATATAATAATTCATATAAATAATAATAAAACACAAAACAATTATTACACTTCTAGAACTTACATCTTCATTTGTCGTTTGATTGGATGTCGTGAGGTAAGTGTGAAATCCTGCCAGGCCAAATACAGACCACAGTGAAAAGAAGCATATAATTCCTTCTATCAAACTGAAATTTATTCAAAAATCATACATTATAAAATACAGTACATTCTACAAATAATTTGTTGTAATAGACAGTTTCAATTCTCACAAATATTCACTTGGTTTCTTACTATTAAAATAGATTCAGCAAAACATTCATAAAAACACAAATAAAAATAAACTTACAAATAATTATACAACTCAGCTATTAAATTCTTGATGAAGATTTCTAAATTCTTCTCTCTTTTCACAGATTATTTTTCATGAAGAGAAACAACAGTTTGAATAGCATGTTCCAAATTATTCAAAAATGCATAAATTTATACATTTTTTATGAAAAAGTATTATATATATACTAGCAGATAAGCCAGGTGTTGCTCAGGCAAAAAGTAATGATAGTGAAGATTAAGATAATTACATTATAGCCAATCTTACCCATTTTCACAGAATGCAGGAATTAGGTCCCCCGTTTCCAGACTAATTAAAAAATTTTTTACATGGGTCTAAAAATATGTTCGATTTCCCGCAAAAATGCAAAAAACTGCATCCGTGCCTGTAAATCTTGCACGCTGCTTTCTCTTAACACTTTCATTGTTAATTAATTAAGGAATATACTTCTTTCATCCCTCGTGGTACCCTACTAAAACACAGTCAAAAATGCAAAAAACCGCATCTAAAATAGTACAATAGATGAGTTCTTCAGGGTAAGCCTTAATCCTCCCCCTCTCCCACGTGGGGGAATTTTGAAAAATCCCTTCTCAGTGCGAGTTCTCGTGACATACCCTAACTGTGTACCAAATTTCTACTTTCAACTCCTAACCGTTTGGGCTCTGTGCTTATTATCAACCCATCTCAATTATACTATAGCTAAATATACAGTAGAGCATCGATTATCTGACTCATTTGGGGACTGGGGTTGGTTGGATAACTGAAAAAACGGATAATCAAAAAGTATGAAAAAATACATTATTAGTATAGTATATTAGTATATTGCTATGAATCACTATGGAAGTGACAACGAACTGAAAGAGGCTGTTAATGACTGGTTTAAGAACTTTGATAACTGAGTATGCAGAAGGCATAGAAAAGCTGGTGATACACTGACAAATGTTTAAATTTGTATGGCGACTACATAGAAAAATAGCTAAGGTATCATGTGTGTTGTAAAATAAGTGTTGTTTCATTATCTTAAATAAAAATATCTAGAGAAACAAATGTTCTTTACTTTTAAAATGACCTTCGTACTATAGAATGATAAGAGCAACATAGAAAAAATACAAGTTCTGGGTATATATAGGATCCCTATTATATCCCAGATTTGGCACTGAATTCAATTTGTAGCTTATGTATAATCTTTCATTACACNATAAAAAACAAAAACAGAAAAATTAATACTTAAAATTTTGTAAAAATGAAAAGGAATCCCATTGATTTTGAACTTAATGAAGCCTTTTATCGGATTAATAAAGGATTGTCAAAATTTTCTTTAATATAAACTATTACGGCTCCCTAAAACAGCAGATAGATATGTGTTTAATGAATTGAGACATCCATAATTATGTGCAATGATAACATCTCACTTGGAATAAAAATAAATAACAATAAAGCTGTTTTTTAACAATCAAATATTGTTTATTTTAATTCTTGTTTCATGTTAAAAAAAACTTAATTAATTATCATATTTTATGGTGCGTACATAAAATTCAACTTACACAAAAAAATTGTTCTTTCTTATATGTGACATTATAATCACCCCTAGGTTAATAAATTTCCACATTTCGATCATTATCAAAGCCCAAAACTTCTGCACAATAATGATGATGATGATAACATTTTTTTCCAATTTATATTATTATTGTTTAATTTAAAACAATTAGCCTTCAGTAGATTACAAGTATCCTCCACTTAGACCAATTCTATAATTAAATAATAACATTTTTATGTAACATCACTGTTATTATTTTAAGGCTTTTCAAGTAATTAAAGTTCTTTTTTAATGAAGAGTAATGACTTTTGCTATGCTTCTCTTCTGCTTTACATTCAATAGAAAATACTGGTAGCTTGTTTTATATATATATATCAGTCGCGTGCCGTGACATTTGATGATAGATAAGCTGTGTTTCTGTTAGAAGTTGACTTCCAGGGGCAATCAGTTAATTGCGCATCAGTGATGGTCTAGGGTCCATTTGTATTCGTTTGTTCAATAAGCCAGTAAAAACCATAGACTTCTCTAAATGTATTTTTAATATCACAATTACATTCTGAATCACTAACCACGATATAAGGGCTAAAATTATAAATAAAATAATAAAAACTTACAGTAGACCCCCTATAACACGGATTCCTATAATTACGATTCCTATAAGACGGCGAAAAAATTGCGACGGTATCCGTACAAACTGGTAAAAAAACTCCTATAATTTGGTAAAACGTCATCGGGCAGCCGAACTACTTTCCGCCGTCCAGCGCCATGGTACAGAGAATTTAGGAGGGTAAATTGAGTTTACTATCGTTTGTACAGTATGTCTGTACAGTAACCCCTGCACTTGTATTATGTCGCTTCCTATCAGTCCATCAAATGGTTGCATAATTTCATCGTCTACTATGTAGCATGGATAAGAAAATTGCAAAAGGCCGATTTTGAACTGGAAGTTATTTTTACCATAGGTGTTGACTCTGTCCGGTGACGCTTTGGAATGGGGTTTCACTCCTGTTGATTCTCATCTTGCCGTTGTCAAATTTGTGTGCCAGTGATCTCAATAACAGCATGACTGTGGAGCCGGTATCTATAGCTAATTGAGTCAGTATATCATTAATGAGGCAATGTAATGCAGGTTTCACATCGTGCGCTTTGACATTACGTTGAGGTGTTGTGTCACTGAATCTAGATATTCTAATTCCCGGTGTATTTTATCTCTTTTGCCGAAACTGGCCTCTAAAATTTCGTCAGTTTCTGTTGTCACTCCTCTCTTGTGGCTGTCTCTGAGGTCGAGGTTGAATCTTCCGATATCGCCAGTTAATTCTTGAGTCCCATGAATTGTGTCTTATCGCATATTGTCTTGGTCTGTATCAAGAATTAGATGGTTGATTTCGCACGCCGCCTATTATGTTTCTCAGGTCCTCGGATGAGTCCTTATATCTGTTTCCTTGATGCCTGGAGAATTTTGTGTGACTTCTCTGCCACCTTAGTTCGTCTAATTGTTCTTGTAACTGCCTAATTGTTTTGTCTATAGTTCTATCAGAGTATGTATCTCGGGGACCTCGGGAGTCGTCAACTCGCCTTCCTGAGGGTAAATATTGTAATTGAAATCCCAAATATTCCCGAGGATGCCAATCTCGCGGGGCCGTATGTCGAGTATCTCCCTGACCCCATTCTTGGATATTCAATCGTTTTAATTGCTCCTAAATTTTCATTAAAGTTTCTTCTCATTAATTTTGATTGGGTATGTCATGTTCCATCTTCGTATCGTTAGGGTTATTTATACTTCTTACAATCACTCGTGATTTTGCCATTAATTGATCTATGGTTTCCTCACTAATTGCTATTCGCACCACTTTATCGAAAGTATCAGGTTCTTTTGGCATCACTTGTCACTTTATTCTATCATTGATTCCACTTAAAAACTGTACTAACAAGCGTTTGTCTCATTCTATTTGTTGGCATCTTTTAACAACCGCCTTATCACCAAATTGTTCTTCAATAGTTTCTACTACTAAGGTTTGCAGTCAGACGGCATAAGTCTGCACGTCCTCATCTCGTGCTTGCACACAAGTGTGAAATTTTTGTAATTGTAATGAAATTGGTTCTCTGTCGAATCTTTTGATGATGCGTTTTTTAATTCATCGTATGTCACTACTTCCTTCATCTTTGCATCCTTCCACGCAAAATCCCGGGCTATACCCGTTAATTTTAATTTTGCAACCCCTAAGCACTGTGCCTTGGACCAATTTGTTAATTTAGCTATTTCATCCAGGGACTCAAAAAAATCGGTGACCCGAAGGCCATCAATGTCCCCTGCAAAAGATGGTATTAAAGGAATCATGCCCCAAAGTCCACCTACTGCGACGCCTCCTGCTGTCTCTGGCCGTGCACCTCCAGTTGCTTCTCCACATGCACTACCTTCTCCTCTATTCTCCATCCTATTTCAATTTCTCTATTGATTTATCAAAATATCTGATCCCGCTCTGACACCACTGTGACCGAAGGGCTAGTACCTCCTCGATGCCTTGTCAGGATGACACCATCGCGTCTCAGTTGACCCGGAAATCTAACTAGTTCACGCAAGCGGTCGCGTAACGGAGTGATCAGATTCTGGATGGACAGAGTGAGAAAGAGCGCACCAGAAGTGATTCTTTCAGAGACTAGATTAACATAACAACCGTTTAATGGGAAACACTAGGAAATACATATCTTACAATATGTCGATAGATTCGATAGTAAGGTTTAAATGACTGTTCTTGAGAGAGAGAGCTTACAATAGTTCGCATGGCGATAAATACCTGGAGTTTGGTTGATTCTTGAATAGCTGATAATTGATAATGAAGTTCTGGACTTAATCCAAAATTCTGGCGACAACGTAATTCAAGTTTCTTTGGCACTTAATAAATATTGTTGCAATTAATCCCAATAGGAGGCACGTAATAGGTTCTGTTGCAAATAATCCAAACAGGAGGCACGAAAAAAAGTTCGGTTGCGATCTGACGACTTCTATCCAGAGGAATGGCGGCAACTGTCTCAAAAATCTGTTTGTAGCTATATTCATTTGACAACTTTGCAATAATAGGTCGGAAGGTTATGTGAAAGCGTCTTTTCAAGACTGAGAACTTGCTGAGTAATTAACTCCCAGGTGTGAAATTTGATACTTAATCGATAAAATAGTATTATTAACAATTTAGGTCAGACTGTAGGTTAATAAACATGACTGAATCTCACAATTATATGTGATGATGCAAATGAATAATTGGCACCTACAGAAGGACAAAATGATGGAAAACAATTATAATTAAATATGTCCTGGAAAAGTAAGAAACCAAGCAATAAAAAATAATCTCTAAAATGTTTAATGTGCTTCTGAGTAGTAATAAATGATGTAAAAAGAAAAAAATGCATATGCAATTTACCAAAGCTTTCCAGTGTTCAAATGATGTAAATTTGCATCATACTGAAACAATGTCATGCAATTTTGTATCGTGTCAGTTGGCAACGAAAGTGCTAATGTGTAACTGTAACCCAAAGACAACTTCTTGAACAGGTTGAAAATATTTCTTTTGCACATAAATTTTTCACTATTAAGATGTTATTTCTTTTATAAAGTATACTGATTAATGCCCCAAAAGAAGGGTCAGACATTGCATATAATAAAGTTCAATAATTTTGATATCTATAACCGAAACTTGTCAAAATTGTTTATATTAACTTCAGTTTAAAAACAATTTTTCTGTAAATACCTTGCGGGAGAGTCTTTAATTGCTTCGATGAAATTTGTTTCACGAGCAACTGAAAATAAAACAAAAAGGATTCATGCATATCTTTTAATAAAATAATAAATTTAATTAGTAACTATCATTAGTTAAAATTTAAATTTTTAACTTTTCTTAATTTCTTCTATTAACTTTTTATATTTCAAAATATAAAGTGAAACAACCAAAATTATACCAGTTGATTTGATAACACTACTCTGTTACCTATTATAAACTTTGATGTGAAACTAATGTGCAACTAATACAAGTTATTGTCTAAAATCAGTAAATGATATCATTAAATTACTTGGATAATGTAATAAATAGACATCACAATTAAAAGATGATGGTAAAAATAGACTACATTTAATTAAAATACTCAACTTCTAATTTTTAAATAAAATAATTAACACTTCAGTGTTGCTCAAGTTTCTCCTATGTGATGTAGATCTAGTGTTTGATGTTGAATTTATCTTTTTTTTTTGTCAGCAGTAATCATCATGACTAATTGGTGCTCATGCATCATCTGCTTATATGAGTGACAATGGAGAAAGGCTAACATTATTTTGTGAATAATGGGTTATGAAACTCTGGAATTGTTTCGCTCTTCTTGGAGAGATGACAAATATAGAAGATCTCTGGGAAACCTCAGAGACATTACCATGGAGTGCACCCAAAACATCATTGGAAGGCAAAAAGATGGATCCAATATCGCTCATGGAAGTTGATTGATGAGAGGAAAGATGCAAAACTTAAAAGGGACTAAAACAATGGCTGAGATGGAGGAACTAAGCCAAAGATACACAGAGTTGGATAGATATGTAAAGAAAGTCTGTCAGAAAGACAAGAAGGAACGGTTAGAATAAAAGGGTGCTGACATGCAGGAGGCTTCTGACCGGAATGACTCCAAGACCCTGTACCACATAGTCAATGAACTGACTGGGATGAGGAATAACTCCAGCATTCGAATAAAAAACAAAAACAGGAATCTTCTTATCACTTAAGATGAGCAGAACAAGAGGTGGATGGAACATTTAATCAAGCGGAACTAACAATCATATAAAATTTTGATATTGAGGATACACAGGTTAAGCTTCAGATGGACGCTGGTGATATTACCCTTGTGGAAGTGGAGTTTGCGATTAAGAACCTAAAGAATAGTAGGACAGCCAGTTTGGATGAAATTATGGCTGAGATTTTGAAGCCCATGTTTGAAAAACTAATGTTATTATTTAACAAGTGATGGCAATGTGGGGAGATCCCAGAGAATTGGAAAAGGGGCACTTTAATCAGAATTCCTAAGAGAGGAGATATCTCTGAATGTACTAACTGGTGAGGTATAACCCTTCTTTCTATGCCTGGAAAGGCATTTTGTGTGGCCCTCCGGTCAGTGTCTGCGGGGGAGGAGCAAACTGAGTTTTGCTGCAGAAGATCGTGCAGCAAGCAGATCTTATCCCTTCAAAATATCATCGAACAATGTCTTGAGTATCGACACCCATTGGCCATCAATTTCATTGGTTTCAAGAAGGCTTTTGACAATGTTCACCACGAGTCCCTCTGGTGGATCCTGTGATTATATCATTTACCAACAAACTTTTTGTCACCATCTTCAAGGCCTTATATCTGCATTTGAGTTGTTGCATCAAGACTGAATGTGGTCATATGGACTTCTTTGAAATTACAACAAGAGTCAGGTAGAGTTGTGTCCTGTACCATTTCCTCTTCCTCATTGCCCTTGATTATGTCATACAGTGGGCTGAAGAGTCCGGTGTGTGCACTGGTTTGACCAGGATCATCTTGGAGATTTGATTTTCACTGACAATATTGTCTTATTAGAGGAAAGCAAGACAATGCTGCAGCATGCCATTCACGGCATTTATCCTGAGGCCAATTCTGTGGCACACAGAATTGGCCTCAGGATAAATGCCGTGAAGACAAAAATTATACATGTGTGTAAATGCCCAAATGTGGGGAGTAATTGTCGGAGCACAACGACTGGAGAAGGTGGAGAGCTTTACCTAATTGGGTAGTGTTATTTTCCAAAATGGCGACACAGAAATGGACGTAAAGTGCTGCATCAGAAAAGAGCAACAGTCTTCTGGCAGATGAACAAGATCTGATCGTCACCATTCATCTCATTGAGAATCAAATTCCGCCTGATCACCTCCATCAAGATTCCAATAGCTGTTTATGCTAGTGAGTCCTGGAAGACATCAGTACACATCAACAGAAGGCTCGATGTCTTCCAGCAGAGATGCCTACGATGAATCCTAAAGATCTGACATTTAGATCATATCACCAATAAAGAGGTTCTCTGAAGGAGTGGAATGTGCAAACTTCATAACATTGTTGCCTGTAGAAGAGTCCAATTGGCCGCCACATTTTTCATATGGAGAACAATAGGATTCCTAAGACAGCCATGAAATGGGTCTCCCTGGTGCCAAACGACCACAAGGACGCCCCAGGAATACTTAAAACTTCAAGATTTGAAAATGCTCAATATAACTTGGGAGGAAGCTGAAGCCTTCGCCCATGATCGAAATCAATGAAAGATAATTGCAGGCCAGTAATTGCTACCTAGCATTGGAGGAACTACTACTACTAATAATCATGCTTTTGATACAGATATAGTAAATAGAAAACATTATTTTTACCTGAAATCTGACTTTCTCCACATAAAAATTTCGCATGAATGTAACATGACAAAAGTAATTACATGTATCTGTACATATAGAAAATTATATACAACTATCTTCAGTATTT